ATCTATAATTATATTATTTTAGTTATATATAATTTTAGATATATTATATTTAGTTAGTTTATCATTTGGATACATATATATATATATATATATATATATATATATATATATATATATATATATATATATATATATATATATATATATATATATATATATATATATATATATATATATATATATATATATATATATATATATTGGATTCTATCTATTTCTCTGAATTCAACTATAATCTTTCTTATTCTAAATATCTTAAATTTTTGATTAATTGTTTTTATTTACATTTATGTTGGTTGTTATCTTAGAAATATAAGTATATCTTAGTAAGATTATGTATTTTAATATTTTTTGTGCTTAGAACGAAAAAATAAAAACTAAAGTGTCTGATTCTAAATTACATACATAAGTAATAATAAATTTTCAGAAGCTTATGAAAACATATCAATATTTAAAATAATTAAATAGTTTAGAAATTTTAAATAATTTATGCCTTGGATTGATTGGATGGTAAACTGAAATTTATTTTAAATAATTTTTAAAATAAAGAATTATGATTTTCTTAAGTATTTTGATTATGGTTATATTAAATTCCACAAACATAAAACACAGAAAATTAAACATAAAAATAGTTATTAAGAAAACATATAATTTTAACTATTAAAATATAATATATCTAGCTCGTTAAATTATATAGTGTTATGATATTTTAAAAGAATTGTAGTTATCTGATCAAAAGATGTTTACCATTAAATTTATTTTTAGTTTATTTTTATTATCTCTTAAAATATGCAGTAAAAATGTGATTTTTTGAGAAATTATATTATATAAGTAAGATATTATAATCAAATAAATATACTAATTATATTTTTTTGTCAATTAAACATATATCAGTTTATGTTACTTAATTATTTTATGTAATCATCTAATAAAATAGACAGATATATACAAAAACTAATTACTTTGAAAATATATATTTTATTGTTTAAATTGTTTTTTTAAAGAAAAAATATTTCTTTTTCTAATATCAAGATTATTTGTATGAAATTTTTTTATGAAAACACATTATATACAAATATTTTTTTTTTCATCTAAGAAGATATATATATATATATAAAGTATAATTACTTAAAAGTATAATTTATGTTATTTAAAAATATATTCAAGTTAAATATTACTATTTTGTAAACTTTCCTTTTTTATGAAACCATATTATATATATACTTATTTTTCATTTTTAAATAGATTTGTAAATTTTAGAAATATTTCCTTTTTGTTTTATAACGTTATTTGGAAGATTTTAAAAAGAAAATAATAATATTTAAATATATTTTTAATTCATTAGGGGTATCATAGTAATCAACCAGCGTGAGAGTTAACGTGAGCGCGACACCTAAGAAAGTGACTTCTCAAATAATATTATAGAGATATGCTCACTCTTTCTAAAATTAACGTCAACAATATTAATAACATTATATCATAAAGTATGTCAAGATGTATAAATAACTTTTACACCAAAATAGATAGTGAGAGTAGTGGTCGTATGGAGACCAAGTTCTGTCATCAGAGAGCTTACCCATTGTACTTCAGCTGCATTCGAAATTGCCATGTATTCAGCTTCAGTGGATGATCTTCCTTGCTTTCGTGCAGACCAAGAGATGAGATTCTTCCCTAAGTAGACTATATAGGCACCTGTAGAGTTGTAGTCATCTTTTCCTCCTGCCCAATCGGCATCAGTATAGGCGTGGAGAGTAGAGGGTGATGAGGCTAAGAATAAAATTCCTTTATCAATTGTGCCTGCTAGGTACCGAAGAACTCTTTTAACTGCTTCCCAATGGCTTGTAGTTGATTGATGCATGTATTGGGACAGTCTATTAACTGAGAACGCAATGTCAGATCTTGTTAAACCAATGTATTGCTGGTCACCTACAATAGTTCTGTACTCTGAGGGGTCTGCAAGTGCATCACCAGTTCTGGATGTTGTTCTTGCCCCTTGTTAGCATGTTGTGAGTGTTGGGAACTGACTGAGACATAGAAGGCTAGGCTGGTGTGGGTTATGTTTGTTGAATTGGTGATATGTCAACTGTTGTCTGTGATGATGCCTCTGTTATATGTGTCGCTGTTGAAGCCGTTGTGGAGACATTTTCGGGAGAAGGAGCTGGACACGGAGGTAAAGCTGGTACATGTGGTCAATGAAAGATAGGAACTAAAGAGGCAGATGAATTATCAGAAGGAGAAGACGATAAAGAGCTTGAAACAGAGGAAGAGTTTGAAAAAAGGGATGAGAATGGAAAAGCCGACTCATTGAACTCCACATGTCGAGAAACATACACTTGAGAATAAGTGACACCAAGATACAAAAATGCACTTTGTGTAAGTGAATAACCCAGGAACAAATAGTAGACTTTGAACTGAATTTATTTTGTCCATACGGCTTGATTCGTGGATAGCATAGGCAGCCGAATGTTTTTAGCTTGAGGTAGTTTGGCTCCATGTTGAATAACTTATGAAAGGGTGAAGTGTTGTCGATTGTTGGTGTTGTGAACCGATTTATCAGATACACATCAGCTGCAAAGGAGTGATTGAATTTGCAGACGCCATGTGATGTAGTTGGTTGAGCTGAGTTTTGTGATGTTGGACATGTTGAGAGAGATAATTGTACTTTCGAGATGTTGAAGGTTGGTGCAAACTCGGCTGTCACAGAGGACTCATCAGCCATTGTTTTAAGAAGAAAAGAAGGACGAGTGAATAAGAGAAGAGATTAGGTTTAGATTCAGATCAGAAACTCTGATACCATATAGAGATTATGAACTGATAACTTTACTGATGTATGTATCACGTAAAGTATTTATACAAGAGTTTGTTGAAGGTTAAGGATAACCTATACAAGATAAATACACAAATATATTAGATAATGACTAAGGCTAATACATCATTATCTATACCAATATTTCTTTGTTTGGTCACCATTCAAAACCTCCATACGGTGACATGCACAAAGTAACATACATTATGGAAGAAAATTATAAATTTGAGTTTAGTTGATATAAGATTGGAATCACACCAACTTAAGATCACTTGATCAGTAGATTCCAAACTTCACTTGCGGAAGGTGGGACGATGTTATAGATGGACGATATATGGATGATTGACTCTCTCAATCAGTGAAACAAGTGTGTTTGAATCACACAAACAAGCTGGAGTTCTTGAAATCAGTAGAACAACAAAGAATCTCTCTTTGAATCCTAAAGATTGTTATTTTATGCAAAGAACACTCTTTGATAAAAACTGAATAATGTTTATAAATTCTTAAATGATTGAAAGGGTGCTTTGTGCAATGGACGTCTAGGAGCTTATATAATGCTCAGAGACAAGTTTCCAAACGTTCTAACACAAAGAGAAAAGGAAACAAATCAAAAGAATCAAAAACTAGCCTTTGGAGCCTTTTGTGGGATTTTAGCTCCAAGTGAAAAAATCTGATTCTTCTTGAACCTGCACGGTTTAAGGGGATAAGAGAGCTTTCTTGAGACCTTCTGGATAGCTTGGAAGGTGCTGGTTTCGTGCACAAACTTATGGAAAAGAGCTGTTGGGGTTTGAATGCAAGAATCTACAAATAAGTCAGTTTGGTGTTAATGAGGATCTTCTTGTTCCTATGTGGTGTGGTGCAACATATGAACTGATAGAACTTCTCTGGCTCGTGGTTAATGTCTTCTGGATTGTTAAGATGATCTCATGGCTTCCATAGAAAGGCTTGGGTCGAACCAAATTGAATTGGTTTAAAACTCTCCCTGATTGATGTCGGTTTGACCAATTGTAGTAAACCGGGTCTATCTTCTGGTCTGAGTGGGATTCGCCTGGTTCAGTGTACTCTGGTGATTTTTAATATGTTTTGGAGTGCCTCTGAATGACTTAGAAGGTCTCCTGGTCGCCATTCTGGAGTTTGGTTTGATATGAATCCCGGATCTTTCAAATAAGGTAAGTGTAGAACTGGTTTGGCCGGTTTAGGAAAATTGATCATATCTTCCAATTTCCTTGACCATTTCTCGTGATCTTGAGCTCTATGTAGCTGATAAATTCCTCTTGATTTATGAAATTTTTTTTGGCTCGGGAATCTTCTTAATTGGACTTGAATCTTCTTTTAAAGTCGGATATTCGCAGATGGACGGTCTGAGAAACCTCCAGGTTGTAAAATTCATATCTTCTTGGTCCAAATAGATATGGGTATGATTCCAATTGGGATAGGACCGAATTTGAGTGTAGAATCCATGAAAATTGGCTTCATGATGAAAACCCTTCTCATTTAAAAGATATGGCATTTTAAGTGCACATACATCATGGTTGGTGTCTTGGTTAGTTAAGTGGAGTGTTGGATAAACCTCCAGTTCAACTGCTGGTTTGATGGCCGCATCATTAGTGGACTAAAACTAGATTTTGGGGGTTGAATACTAGAATCAAAATTTTAAAATCCAGACCTAAAACGTAATCCCGATAACTAAACTCGACCAAAACTATTTTATTTGAACCAATTTTAAAACTATTTAGGTCAGACTAGGTGCTAATTTGGATCAGATTTAAAATCTATAATGTTTGATTACGCCATAAATAACTAATTCATTCACTTATAATACCAAAATTTATAATTTTTGACATAATTATTTGTTCTATGTGGTGATGTTATGAAACTTAAGATGCTTTTTTGGCATATTAAGCTTATTTCATATAGTTAACAAATCTTTTATTTATTTTAATCTTATACACAGATCTGTACAATGTTTGAACGGTTATAGTACTACTGCAGGCCAAAACAATTTTCATATCGCACTCGCAGTCCAGTAAATTTTAAATCCAGGAGCCTTTGGTTCTAGTTTGAGAATATATATAGTTTGTTGGTTGAAAAGTGATAGAAAGAAACAAAAAAAAAAATGTCGATAAATGGTTGAAAAAGAAGAGGACTATAGTAAAATTAGGGAGAATGCTAAAGTCAACCAAAACAATAACAACAGATTTCATTAAGAGTGTTTAAGTTTTATAAACCAAGATCAATGGAGCTTACAAATTCTAAGAATCTTTAGACCCCCATCTACCAATAATCCCACAAAGATTCGTACATTTCCTCGGGATTATTCGTTATTTGCATTAAGAAGAAAAAAAGCACGAATATATTATTATGATCTGATTATTGAGACATGGAACTGCAGCGTTCACCTGGGAGAGATTTTTATATGCAGGTCCTTGGTGAAGCAAGGAAATGGTACCCGATAAATCTCACATTCTTGGACCACCGAGAAATCGTAAGTAGTTACAAAATGGTGAAGGAAGATTGCCAAGTGAAGTCTCGCCAAATCTGATCCTACACACTGTCTTGCTCCACCTCCAAACACCATCAATGTTTTAGACCCTGGCGACCGCAAATCTTTGCCCTGCCATACAAAGCTCTACTACGTGATTCTTGTTCGTAATTACTGGTGTGGTAGCTAGATACAATAACAATATAAAAATTAATACCTCCCATCTCCATGGATTGAACTCCAATGGGTTCTCATAGATTTCAGAATTATAGTGAACCACTGAAGGTGCAACGGCCACTATCCAACCCGCTGGAATTGTGTATCCTGCATATTTACAAATATTTCCCCCAATATCTCAACTTCTAATCAACTCTTAACAAAAAAAAATACTTCTAATCAATATTTTGGAGGATGGATAAAGAGTAGTTATGGTTTACTTTACTTGCCTTTGATTACGACATCTTTCACTGCCTTTCTAAACATTATGGTTCCCAAGTTTGCCAGCCGAAGCGACTCGTAGATAACCTACACACGATCCGAAGACATCATATATATGGATATCCCAATTTCCATGCATGGTAAAAAAGGAAATTTCTTACCATGCGGGTGAAAGGCATGCAGTATTTATATTCCTCCCAGCTAAGTCCTGCTTCTTTATCTTCTCTGTTTTGTACAATCGCATCATGCTCTCTCTAAAAAATGATATAGGAAAGACAATCGAATCAATCTAATATATAACTTTAGCTTATTGGCCTATAACAATATATATAAATTCAGTCACAAAAAAAAGCAGTATGTATTAATTACCTTCAGCTCCGTAAGTACTCTTGGGTTTTTTGAGATAAAGTTGACGGTTAAAGCGGTAGCGTGAGAGGTAGTATCTCTAGAGACGACTCCAATATTTAACAGGAGGTTTACAATAGACGCTTGGTCAAAAATGCTGCCTTCCTTGTTCATCTCCTCTAGCAATGTATCGAGGAAGTCTCCTTGTTTCTCTATTGAATTTTTCCTCCCCTCCAGAGCTACGTTTATTATCTTGGCTGCTTCTCTACGTGCCTGGATACAAATTAATTGAGCAAGTTCGTAGATAAAGTAGTTACTTATATAGGAAACTGGGAAACTAAAGATAAATTTCTCACCCAAAGGACTTTGTAGACAGTCTTCCAGGTAGAGAGCGAGAAAGGGGACTGAAACCACTCAATATTGAAAGCCTTGAAATGATTTATAAGCTTTGCTTGAGTTTCTGGTTTTAGGTTACTTATCATCTGCGGTGTTATGTACGATACTATCAACTACAAAAGGAAGAGAATATAATAATTAGATTCAGACAATTGGTTAAAAGAAAAGAAAAATATTAATTAAGATGTGTAGCTTACGGTTGAAACAGCATGCCTAAGGTTGAAAGCGCCTTGGCTAGCCTTCCATCTAAGATGCTCGCGGGTGGTCTGGTTCATAAATCCTATCATCCTTCGCTTCAAACCTTCCGAGCCGATGAGATGCATAGTGGTATGTTTGATATGCTTGTGGATGTCTCCTGTCTTGAAGAACACATTGTCTTTTCCAAGTACCTTGACAAAAACATCCGGATAGCTTTGTACAAAAGACTGGTTCTCCTGCCGGAAAATCTCGAAGATAACATCTGCGTCCGTTGAAATCACCGTTCTAGAGCCCAAAATGTTGGTTCGAAACAACGGCCCGTACCTGGAAACATTCATACACACGCAAACTTAAGGTTTAGGGAAAGTGACTAAGAAAGAATCTAAAGAGGGATTAAAAAAAGAGTGACCTTAGCATCCTCTTCTGGAAAAAGGGTGGGATCTCAAGCAATCCAGCAGACTTGAAGAATTCAATCGTCTCTCCGATGACTGGAAAACCCATTGACCCCGGTGGTAGATTGCCACTGCCCTTGGAGTTTGGGTTCGACCATTGCCATAACCACTGGCTGATCTTCACAATCACTAAGGCGATGATCACATACACAACGTTCCACATGAAACTCATCATCCCTCTCAAGTTTCAGATGTTTTGCCTTTCCTACAACTTTCTCTTACACCATATATATATATATATATATATATTTTGGAACAACATTATATATATAAACAAATATATGTCTATGGCTTTAGTTTGTTGTCGAGATTCTCCAGTTCTCTTTCCTCAAGTTAACTTGTAATACGGTTATTACTGAGAGGGCAGGGCATACATATACTTGAAAATAGTATCTTTTTATTTTTCAAAAATTCATAACATACAATTTTTTATTGTTTATTTATTTTAAACATGAATCCGGATTCGATCGTGAATGTCCATGTTTAGTTAAAATTCCATAAATTTGGTTATGTCAATGTCATATTCTCAAACTTGATATGGTTTCCACCATATTATCCTATATTCCTATACTTGGTGTAGATGGCAAATATATATATATTTTTTTAAATATTACAAGTCATAATATCTGAAAGTACGTATTATGGATACAAAATTTGGTTTTACAGTTTATTTTATCTTACTAAATGCGTCTATTATCTTTTTTTTTGTGCACCAAAGTCTTCATTACTAAATCAAACAATTACAATAGTAGAAGCAACATTGTACATAACACGATATGCAAGCCAAATGACGAAATACCTAACATAGAATTGAAAGAAGTACAAGGATAGAGAAATGCGTCTATTATCTATCAGAAATTAATTGAGACTTATATCTCAATTCGACATGGCTCATTTTCTTTTCCCCAAAATTATCCTTTTTCCCTGGACCAATCATAAGCTAAGTGTTATTGAATTAATAATGTCAAAACAGTGACATACATTTAACTTTATTCTTTAAAAAAATATAATTTTTTTATTTTTTTGAATTATAGAGAAATATCTTAATCTCACAGAAATAGTCTAGACTAGTCACGTATTGCAATGTGTCCGTTCTCTTTTCTTGGCAATGTCGAAATGTTAATCTTCCACGACCAGGATTCAAACTCCAATGGTTTCACTTTATTAAGCTTTTGCCCTCATATTAATCACTATCAAACTACAAACCCGAATTACTTAATTTTCATTTTAAAATTTGGCTACCGAGTAAATTAACCCCCCTAATTACTTAATTTTCATTTTAGAATTTGGCTACCGAATAAATTAACCCCTTATTTTTTCTTTCTTCTTTTTCTATCTCCTCTTTCCTAACTTCTCCTCTCTCTTCTTTATCTCTTTTTCGTTATTCTCTATCTGTATTTCTCTCTCCATCTATTCTCCTTTCTCTTCACTTTCTTCTTGAAATAAAAATTATTTATTTTCTTTTGTTTGCTCCGCATAAAATTCATAACACACGTTTTACAAGAAAAAAAAATCATGTCACACAAAATTTTCTTTATCTATCTATCCTATTAAAGTTAAAGTACATTTTTGAACTACCCTTTATTTTATCTTAAGAATTATAATATATGCCATTGTGATTTTCAATACTTCTATATTTCAGCAATTTTTTTTTGTCATTTAAAACAAGCATAAAAGATTACCTAATTAGCTTACTCTAATCCAAATAAATTTGGAATTTACATAGTTAAGAGAAACTCAGTTAGATATTTGGTAAACATATCTATGTGTTTAGAAAAAACTGTGTTGATATTTGGTAACCATAATTTTCTTTATTTAAAATTTAAAAAAAAACTCAGAAATTTCCAAATAACCATATTTATGTCATTTTTTTTTCTGGAATGGTGTATAAAATAACAGTGTTGTTGTTTGTGTTTTTATATTTTAAATCAACAATATCAATCACTGTATACATGTCATATACGAAATATGTACCAAACAATGGACTTTGTGCGTTCATATATAAGATACCACTGATAACTTATGAACTAAAAGTAACTTTTACATATTCCGTGTTAACATTTGTTTTTGGGCACACATAAACAAAAGAGAAATTATCTAAAATACCACAAGTTACAAGTTACGTATCACTTTTCAAAAGTACACTCAATCAAAAAAAAATACTAACATTTAATTTATGATTTAGTGATTATTGTTTCGTATTAAGGGGTTGGAGTTGAGTTTATATATGCTTTATAAATATTTAGAAAAATTAGCTTAGTGTTATTTTATCATAAAATTAGGATATTTATGAAAATAATAATTTATTAATGGTAAATTTGAAAAGTGGTATCACACTTGTGGAATTGAAATTTTCCCTAAAGCACACTAAACTCATTTGTTATCTAAAATATACTTTTGACATTTAATAAATGATATTTCTGAAATTTTCTCCACTTACTAAATATAGAATAACATATTTTAAAAGATATTTGAAGATATTTCTTATTATTTATTACTAATAACTAAAAAATAAAAAACTAGATGTAAATAGTTAATTTATATAACATATGACTTAAATATAAAATAATCATTAAATATGTTATTTTACGCATATCTTCATATAATATTTAATGGAATGAAAATTTGACAAAAAAATATATAATACAAATGATTAATATAATTGACGGTACAAACTATAAAATTATTATATTTTGAAACTATGTATTATACATTGATTTGATATGAGTAAATATTTAAAATATACTACTAATCATATAAACAAATATTAACTTATATACAATTAAAACAAACATCAGCGTATGTGTGCGGGTATAGTTATAGGTTTTATTATAATAGAATGTGTGTGTTCAAACCACATTTTATATTAGGTAGTTTGCCCCACCTTATGCGTGGAATTATGAATTATGTTAATACTCATGAAATATACTTATATTTATCAGATATAAAATTTAGTAATCTTTAACATTATGTTTTAGATGGTACAATGTATTTTGAATACAACCAAATTATCCCAATAGGAATCAAATAGATATGATAGTGACTTGTACCAAAATTTTATTTTATCATTGTTTCTTAGTTATTATAAATTTATAATGACGGTAAAGGATCAAATATTTTTCGTAAACTAGGAGGTTATGAGTCAATGTTTTGAAACTCCTTCAACTTGTAATCACATTATGTAATACAATTTTTAATAATCTCAATTGGAGCTCAACATTTTTGGTAAAAAAAATCATTAGTCAAAAAAGTCTAATGATTTATTTGATTATATCCGAATTTATTATAATATTATTGTGTTATATACAGTGAGACATTTATGAATGAAAAAGATACGTAATTAAATTATTTATTTTACTTTTCTTTTTCTTTTAATCTTTGTCAAAGTTAGACATCTCTATATATATAATATGTATACAGTTAATTAACACGTTTTAAATCTCATAATTTATTTTTAAAAATTTCTTAGTAAACATTTTATAATTTGATATAAAAATATAAATCATGATAAATTTAATAAATTAAAACAATGATTTTTTCTCTCTAAATGATTCATAAGATTTTATAATCATTTTTGGTTTAGAAACTAAATACAAAATTTTGTATTACTTATGAATGTTTGTTGATGAAAATCTTTGTTATATATTTTGGATAATTTTTTACTTTTTATAAACTAACAACAGCTGGGTTTTTCATTTTATATAGAAATTACCTTTTAAATTGATATGTGAATTTTCTTATGTTATTACTTTAAGCTTAAAATATGTTTTTTTGTGACCAAAATAGTTTTTCCTTTGATATAGCTAAAAATGACAAATATATTAGGTCAGGTATAAAATTATATTAGATTAGCAATATAAAAAACATTTATAAGGACGATGCTAATACAATAAATTATAGTTTAATATTTTTAAATTAACGTATTTTATCAAGTTTTCAATGAAAGTTTTGTTTAAATCAAATTATTTTCAGTTATTCCATGTAATCATTTTTATTGATCCATGTTTTTTTTCCACATCATATCATTATTTTAAACAATCTAGCTTTTCACTGAAGTTGCTTTCCAGTTAACAATATGGATTCTTAAATTTTAAATTTATTAGGTTACAATTTTTTGTGATTACTTGAAAATAATTTCACTATATAACTTTTAAACAATATATTATTTAAATCCAATAACCACATGTCCTTCACTCAAACCATCTATTAGTTTTATATTTTTTTATTTATCTTAGATTATCTCATACATATAGAAAGGTCCAGACTAATTACTAACGAAAGGTGAAACCTATAAATAAAATTTTCTCCAGATATTCAAACAAAATTTAAAGCATAAGTTCATATCAATATGGCAACAAGGTGAAGTGTGTCGGAATATCTTCAAATCTGGATCGTTTAGTAACTCGAAATCCACCTACCACTGGACCCTTGTGGTTAAACATATAAGGGTTTATGCGGACGGTTGTTTAAATTTTACGATATCTATATTTTAGTTTCATGATTTTCTTGTCCTCACATGTTCGTAAAAAGGTTATGTGTATGAAAAACATTCTTCACAAAACTATGTGCACGTTCATTTCTTAAAACAAAAACAGAAAAATGTCAATACATGTAATAAATTAGAAAAATGTCAATACATGTAATAAATTAGACAGCGTTTCTGAATGTAGTACATTTTCTAAAAGTGTGCCAAATTGAAACTTTACCAAGGTGTTGGTGTCTTATTAGTAATACAAAGAGATTGGTTTCCTTGTACTACATGTTCAAACCGTAGGGGTAGGCAAAAAAATAAACCAAACCAAATCAAACCGATCTAGCCGAACCCACACTGTCCCAAACCAAACTAAAGTATATGTACCAACTATTTGGTTAGAGGTTTTATCAACTCAAAGGGTTCGGTTTGGTTTAGTTTTAAACCAAACCAAACTGAAAAATCAAAGTGTTTATTAAATTAGATTAACTAAATATATTAACAATGTTAAGATTTAAGATTTTTAACCATTTAAATTTAAATAGCTATACGTAATTTCATATATTTTACTTCTAAATGAATAGAAGACACAATTAAAAATAATAATAATAATAATAATAAACAAAATAATATGAAATATATACACAATCATAAAAACCAAAGAACTACCTATGATATTTATATTAGATTTGAAGATAATAATACAT